TGTGTATGTCTGCATGCAAATATATATTAGGAAGATTCTTATACTAGTAGGTTTCCATTTGTGTTTTTTAAGTCTTCAGTTAGTTATCTGGCCCCATCTTTCCTCCACACTTCCCTCTCATCCTCCATCCTACTCAACCCTATCTACTCTATTGTTCCCCATTGCCATGCCAGCTGCCTTCTATCAACCCTCTCTTTAAAGCTCCCTACCTACCATTTCTTACTGGTTTCCTGACTTCTATAGGTACTCCTAATTTCAACACACATATCCAAAGGTTCAAAGCTAGCATACATATATGAGAGAGAACATACAATAACAGTCTTTCTGGGTCAGGGGTATCTCATTCAGAATCATTATTTCCAGCTCCATTCATTCATCTCTGAATTTCATAACATCATTTTTCTTAACAACTAAATAATATTAAGTTGTGTATATATACTACACTTTGATTATCATTTATCAGTTGAAGAACATCTAGGCTGTTGCCATTCCCTGGCTACTGTGAACAGAGAAGCCATGAACATGGTGGATGAGGAGAATAGTAGGATATGGAGTCTTTGCAGTATATAGCTGAATCATAAGGAAGACCTACTTCTAGCTTTCAGAAAACTCCACATTGATTTCCATAATCACGGGAGCAGCTTGGATTCTTCACCAACAATGCCTGCTCCAGGATGTAGTCAGCCACTTTTCTTGGAACTATTACATTTAAACAGAATTCATAGATTTAAAATAGTTGGTGTGAGTTAAATATTTATTTATGCATTCAGTCACTTGTTGATTTATTTATGTACTTATGTTTTAAGTTAACCCAGGGCTTTGTATGTGGTAGGCAAGCACCCTGCTACCTAGCTATACGCCTTTCCCGCCTTATAGGTATTGTTGTAACTGATATTCTTGAATCAATAGAAACCATTGAGTTGATTTCAGAGTTCTTTTGATATAACCCCCAGTCATTTCTTTTGGTCCTTATTTCAGACTCATCTTACATATTTCCTACTTCATGACTGGATTAATAGATAGCCCTGTTATTTCTAATGCTTTTGTGGCTGAAGTTTCCATACCCTAGCTTGATCCCATCATTCATTATGGTGACCACCATCTCTGCAGATTCTGCCTTTCCTGATGAGAATGGTTAGGTGTCCTAGAGGGGCAACACTATCAGGTGTATGGCCAGTATTTAGTAATCACAGTGATTTCATAGTTCCTGGGACTTGCGGCTCATTAGCCATGACTGCTGAATAAGCTACTCTTGTTCTTGTGACAGTCCCACCCTCAAAGACCATTCGGGCAGATGTTGAAAAGTATTTGTAGAAGAACATATGGAGACAAAGCTTACTCACACATCTGGATTCCTTGCCTAGGGGAGATTGAAATGGTGGGACCTACAGGCTCTTGCCCTTCCCAGTTTGGTGGCCAGCTTCTTCCTGTTGAGTTCCGGGAACAGGGGAGCCCAGAAGCTTATTTGTCTATTTGTCCAAGACCTCCTTGCTATATATAGCAGAGTGAAATAACTTACAGGAAAAAATGCAGATGCTATTTTTAGTTCTACATTTTTAGAACACCCATAGCCTTCTATGTTTACTTGTTTTGCATTTTGCTAAAGTACAGTTCTTATACGTTGCCCCCCCCCCCCAAATCCTCTGGCCACTCTTCCGCTGGAGATACTATATTTTGGAATACTTTAAAGGTCAAATTGGTTTTATATGGTAATGAGGAGTTATTTTACTTATTTTAATTTAGTCAGTAATAATTAAAATCTCTATGAAGCAGAACCCTTGCCAAAAGGTAGGTGCTGGGCAGCTGCTGCTTAACACAACCACTCTCCTCATTGAAACCTGAGGAGTGATACGTCTAGTCATAGTGCAGATAGAAGTCCCTCCAGGTACTGTGAGGAATAAGGGCTTGAACACGGACAGGGGAGAGAAGATCACCTGACAGGTAGTTGGGGGTTTGAGGAGGCCAGTGTATCTCATTATAGCTGCACTGCAGTTTCCTTCTTACTAAGACCTTGACATCACAGTGTGACCGGTCTTCAACTCTTCAACATGATGACATGATGTAGATGTTCTTCCAGCCAAGACAAAGCTATCACCATTAGCGTATGTAACTTTATCGTGAGTACAGTACAGAGTGTGGATAGCACACAATGCCAAGATGACCTTGGGGACTGCATG